ATTCTCTCTCTCTCTCTCTCTCTCTCTCTCTCTCTCTCTCTCTCTCTCTCTCTCTCTCTCTCTCTCTCTCTCTCTCTCTCTTTCTCTCTCTCTCTCTCTCTCTCTCTCTCTCTCTCTCTCTCTCTCTCTCTCTCTCTCTCTCTCTCTCTCTCTCTCTCTCTCCTTCTGTCTCTTTCGCTCTATCTCTGAGAGTGAGAAATGGAGAGAGAAAGACAGGACAGAGTTTTTGTTTAAGTAAGTTTTTTTTAACAGTGCTCAAAACTGCATAAGGTCATGTGAGCCCGCGGGACACATTAAACATTTTTCAGTTGGTACATAGGAAATTTTGAATTTTCTCCGGGTGGCAGCAGAAACCTACTCCTATCGCTTTTGGACCCCCAAGGGATCTTAAACGGGCGCAACTTGCACACGAGACCTCCGAGATTTTACGCCTTCGTCCGAGAAGGCTAGGCATAGATCTTTCCTACCATCAGATCAGGGGTGTGGCTGAAAGACAGCAAAAAAAGGAGCAAGGGAGTAGCAGTAAAAAGGCTGCAGAAAGAGTCAGGAACCCAGAGGAGGGGTCAAAGGAGGTGAAGGGATGGGAACAGAAAGTGGAGTCGAAAGCAGACGACAGAATATTGCTAGAGAGCAGGAAAGGAGAGAAAAAAGAAAATTTTAGAGTAGAATAATTACTGTCGCTATCTGGATTCAAACCCGGGACCTATTGAATGAGAGGCGAACACCTTAACCTCTAGGCCACTGGAGCCCCCACAGACTGAGAAGCAAAGGGAGAGACCTAGAGAGAGAGAGAGAGAGAGAGAGAGAGAGAGAGAGAGAGAGAGAGACAGATAGACAGACAGAGAGGAGGAAGAAAAGTGGATGAGGAGAAATAGAGAGAAAGAAAGAGAGGGAGAGAGAGAGAGAGGAGGGGGGATGAGAAAGGAAAGAAAATATAATAATACGAAAAGAGAATAAAATATATGTGTCAAGAAACGATGGAATCAGGCGCTCGTTAATTTTTGGATATATGGAGTTACTGGTATCCTCTCAAAGCTTTTTCATATGTTGTGCTTTTGAAGAAAAGAAAAAATGCCAAACTATTTTGAGTAAGAGTCAAGATATCTGCGACTAAAAGAGATCAGGGTTGTCTGGGTGTTACAGGTAAAATTAAAATTGACTTCCACAACTTGAGTGCCCTTGAAAACTGCAATTAATTTACATTTTGAGTGCCTTTGATTAACGTTATTCGGAAAAATCCAAACAGAAATGTGTTTTCAAATGGACGTCAAAGGCGTTGAACGAAAAACAACAACAACAATAACAACAACAACATTTGACAAAATTGTCCAACGAGCAGAAAAAATGCCTCTTCTTCCATTTCATTATTTTGACAAGCGCCTTATTTCACCACGATGCCACACATATATTAGATATACTATATTATAGCCTAGAGAGAGAGAGAGAGAGGGGGAGAGAGAGAGACACAGAGAGAGAGAGACAGAGACAGACAGAGACAGACACACACACACACACACACACACACACACACACACACACACACACACAGAGAGAGAGAGAGAGAGA